CCTATGTGTAATGGAATTGAATTGGCGAAACTAACTCCTCAGAGTAATTAATTACCACCTGTTACATTAGTTTGCCAGATTTTGATAGTTAATCTGTAAATGATGTATGCAAATAACTACCTGTATGCATAATGTCGAGAACACTGTGTGTGAGTTAACAGGTGGGTCCAGTATGTAAATGACTGTGCTCTGTATAATTGTTTATGTGTGTGCACACAGTGTTCAGGGCAACATATGGACCCTGATGTCCTCTCTGCTCCCTCAATCCACCAGACTTTGGATGTGACAGAAGTCAGATGCCTTGTCCTCAGGGGGCTTCCTGTCATTCTCGGTGATGATCCATCCACCTTCTTCAACGTCTGCTTTGTAAGCAACTTTGATTGTTCCCTACCCCCTCCTCCTTCCCCCAGCCCACCTCTCCTTGTTTACAACCTTCCCTCTTCTCCCTCTGCCTCCCTTCCCCTCTCTCCACCTCCCCTATTTTCTACCTGCCTTCCTCTCACTCTCCCCCCGGCCCAGCTCCCCTCGTTCACTACCTCCCTTCCTCTCCCTCTACCTCCCTTCCCCTCTCTCCACCTCCCCTCCTCTCCCTCTATTTCCCTTCCGCTCTATCCACCTCCCCTCCCTTGCTCTTCCTGTTCTCTACCTCCCCTCTTCTCTCCCTACCAGACATATTTCAATTTAAAGTGGGCATGTGCTAATAGTTTATTTTTTATTGTTATTCTTTTTTGAAAAATAAATAAATAAATACTTGTCTGGAGGAGGCATACTCCAAAATCGTGACCTGTGTTCACCCTAGATCATTTGTGGATGCCTCTTGCACCTGTGATTTCTGTTGTGGTCACTGCAGTGGGTGGACATTGGACAGGGCAGAAATGTTGGCTGTATACCCATTTAAGAGTATAGGGGCTATAGCTGTATAATCTGTATAGAGGCTGTTTGTAGCACTGTGTTGTCATGTTGATGTGATCATGCCCTGTTCCTTTTCTTCAGGATACTGATGATGAGGGAGGTTCGGATAACGATGTTCCAGTGGGGATCCTCTGCCATGAACAGGAAAACATCACTCCACACACACAGTCCCTTCACCACAATGCATCCTCAGTGGGAATCATCTTAGAGGGAAACATTGCGATGGAAGTTGTCGGACTTACCTGTGCGCTGCATCTTAACTACCCAAAGTACATGAAGAACACTTTTGATTTTTTCCAACAGGTTCTTCTGAACTTACGTAAGACAGATCTGAAACCTAAACTTCAAACACTCAAGAATCAGCTTGCAATGTAAGATCCAGAATCTCTCCATAGGGAGATGGGGTTCTCCATATACATATTTGCTGTTATTTTTTGCACCCTCCCAGTCTCCCTTCTTTCATTTCATTCAGACTTTTTTGTTTTTCTGAAAACACATTTGTGTTTTATAAATGTTAAGATGCCAGTGTTCAACAGGGCTGCGTTTCATGTTGCCAGTTTGTAAACTGCATTTGAAGAATGAATGTTAAGATGCCAGTGTTCAGCAGGGCTGAGTTTTAGATTGCCAGTTTGTAAACTGCATTTGAAGAGGCGCAGTACAATACTGTAATGATTCGAGGTAAAGAGGAAGAGAGCTTGGTGTAGTACCAGTTTGTGAGGCTGATTTTTTTGTCTCTTCATGCCATCACTGAGGACACACACTAGAAACCTATGAGGCCATGGCTTTGTTTCTTT